ATTAATCTTTTAGGTCCCTCCCACAGAGAGCCCACTTAGTGTCTGGGCTGACTCTCCTCTAAGGATACAGCTTTAAGGGTTTTTCTTAGGTTTCAGTCCACATTCTCAGTGTGTAGTGCTTGTCACTGAGCAGGCTGTGGGCCAGGCCTTGGATAGCAAGTGACTCCTTTGCAGGACTCATTGATGCCTGTGTGCTTCATGCCACTTGCCCTGAACTAGCCAGTCCGTGGAGCAGTACCAGCTCCATGGGACCTGGGGAGTACCCTCATCTCATGTGTGAACCAGATGTGTCCTTTGGGTGGGAGTTCTTAGCCTCAGTTTGCTTTTCTGCAGAGGCCGCTGTGAGTCCAGGCACTTTGGGCTACAGCAGAAGCAGGGAAGCTTGAGGAGGGATCTGAACCTGAGAATATGAAACACCATCTTCCCCACTGACCTCTGTGCTTATGCAGAGCAGCAGAGCACCTGGGCTTCCTGATATGACTCCAGACAAGGCTTGTGTCCTACCCATTTGGATATAGGAGCTTCGAGGCCTGGGATCATGGCACCTAGGTTCTAGCTGCTCCTTACAACCTTAAGAGTTCTGCTTCCCACCAACCTCCCTTCCTTTTCTACCCTGTGGGCTTACACCTCTAGTCAATACACACAATACTTCCCTTAGAGCAGTGGTTCTTAACCTTCTAAGTGTTGTTACTCTTTAATGCAGTTCCTCATGTTGTTGTGACCCCCAACTATAAAATTATTTTTGTTGCTACTTCGTAACTGTAATTTTGCTACTGTTACGAATGGCAATGCAAATATCTGATATGCAAGATATCTGACCCTGTGAAAGGGTCGCTCAGCTCTTAAGGGGTCACAACCCACAGATTGAGAAAAAGCTGCCTTAGAAGCTGGTTCAGCTATTTTCTGTTCCCATTTCTTTGGCACTTGCCAAATGCGTTGTGTGTGTTATCCACAGCCTTTACAGCCAGTCTGGAAGGAGAGCCTTCACCACATTTCACAGGCAACAGTATTGTAACTTAGAGAGGGGAAATGCCCTACCCTCGGGCTCACAGCAAGCTCTTGGTAAATGAAGATCCAAATCTAGACATGAGACCCAGGTTCACTGTCCTAGCACTGATGCTGCAGTACCCAAGCTCTGTCCCTCTCTTGCCTCTCACGGCTCCTTAGCCAGGGCCAGCACCAATGCAGATGCCCACCATGATACCATGCCAACATGAGGAAGATCCAGTTAGGCACAGCAGGAGTCACCTGCATATTTGGACTGATGTGACTGTCTGTCACCTTTTGCTACCTGTCATAATGATCAATGAGGAGAGATTTGCATGTTAGGGGTTATCATTTCCATTATCTGGGTGAAGAATCTAAAGATTAAGAAATCAAAGTCACAGGTAAGTAACCCCATGGCATACTTGCAGCATTTGATTCAAATGGCCTGTGCTTGCTGAAACTGGCTTCACCCAGAGCCTCTGTGCTAAAATCTTTGGTGGAAGAGTTTGGACTAACCCTGTTCCACAGAGAATCGAGTAGCAGCCTGCCGAGGTAGGCGATTTGCTCCAGGTCTCATGCTGGTAGATGGTGTCTCAAGCCCCAGACCAAGGGTCTGTGGGTTGTTCTGCCCCATTCTCTGTCCATCATCACCTTACCCTCTGGGGTCCAATATGTTTTCAATGGAGCCTTTTTCATATTTCAGGCAGTTAGCCTCTGCATGCACGCATGGGCTTCTAGGTCACCGTACATTGATATACCCATATCCCCAACTGGCATCTCTGAGGCAAGAAAAGTAGTTCCTGTGTTTAAATCCCGTAAGGTGGTACTGCCAAAGGCTACCATGCTCCCTCAACTTTCTCCAAGTAACTCGAATCATAAAAGCTGAGTCCTGACTACACAGGATCTCCAAGCATCTTCCCCTGTGGCAGAGCCACACAGCCAGATGTTCTGACAGCAGTGGTATTCGAGATCTCCTTTCTTTCCCGGAGAAAGAGCAGGAGGCTACACTAAGATCTCTCTGACTTACTTCCCTTTCCATGGGTATTTTGCCCCACCTACTTCCTGGTATCAGGCTTAGTCTTCCTGGAGTATTCATTGCTGCCCATCCCACTGCCAGGACCTTCTCCAAGACCCTCTGTAACTTCAGTGATCCTGTAACCTATCATGTAGGGACCACCATCCCCATTCCCTTCACCATTGCTCCCAGTGAGAGCTACGGCTAGGTCCAAAGACAGACAAGTAAGTCCACATTGTTTTTGGTAGAGGCTGTTTCCAAGCATTTCCCCTCCCCTTTTACAAGAGTTTCGAATGCTCAACAAATCATCCTTGATTAAACCAAGTGGCTTGAAGCCACAAAAGTCATGAACCATCCTCACTGTGTCTATGGGTCAGGAATTGGGAGGGAGCATCTTGACTGGACAGTCCGGGCTTAGCATCCCTCGCTAGGCTTCAGTCAGCAGTCTGTTGGAGTGGCTGACGTAGGCCTGGCTGGAGTGGGTGGACATGTTCCTGATGTGGTCCATTCCTACGGCTGGCTAGCTGATAGTGGTGAAGGCAAGGACCCTCAGCTTCTATGAAGATGTTTCTCTACAGGGATATCTGAATGTCTTCACAGCATAGCTGCTGGTTGCACTCCATATGGCCAAAAAAGAGGCTACAGAGCTTTCACGTAGTCACAGAGTATCACATCCACCATATCCTACTGGTTATATAAGGATTCAGGGAAGGAGGGGACTCCTCAAGAACATAAAACTTGTGGGTGGGAATCCCTAGAAGCCATCTGGAAGGCTGCAACATGTCTGAGAACCATAAAAAATTGGGTCTTCTGCTGACCTGGGCATGCAGGTCCTGATCTTCTTCTTTCTCTATAAAAGAGCATCTGGTATACATACACTCCCCTGTGAAGATGACAACATGGATTGAGCTATGGTTCTTCCCTGGATGAATTCAGTAAAGTTGGGGATATAGTCTCATCATGAGATATGCTTTAAAAAGAGACATCTTCCATATGTCTAGTATAAACAACAGGTCATTTGCCTCTTGGAGACTATGGAATGTTTTCCTAGAAAAGGGAAATCATTCCCTGAATCTTGAAGGATGACTAGGAACTCCTCAAGTCATAGAAAAATGGAGGACATTGCTCCGTATGGTACATGCAACAGCAGAGAGGTAGAGCGCATGTAAGGCTGTGGTTACAAAAGTCTTAAAGAGTAGGACATGAGTCTGGACTTTATATATCAGGAGCCACTTGAGGGATTCAGGCCAGAGAAGGACCTGACAGAGCCTTGTGGGACAGAGCTGGAAGGAAACCTATGAAGGAGGGAGCTTTGCTGAAACCATCATGACTTAGGGCTTATACTAACTGGGACACTGGGAGATGAAGAAAGGGCAGACATGCATATAGAAAAGCTGGGTTCTGGTGGGCCATGGCTCTGATGGAGATGCACCTCCAGCCATACCCTGGACATTCAACACATTTATTTTACACATGTTAACCATGGAGGCCAATTTATTGTATACAACTGAACGAGGAGGCAGGGTTAGCTTAGGTGGGAGTCGCTGTAGGTAGTCAGTTTCAGGTTATAGGCAGCCAGGAAGAAGAAGCTATGGTTGACCGATTTGCACACACTGCTTTTAGAGGATAGTCACCCATAATGTTTATACTTAGACCATGGGGAAGGCTTTGCCATTTTCCTGAGCCTCACCTGAGAAAGGCTTTGCCATTTGCCATGGATCTGAGGTTTGACCATGTCTGTGTGCATATCAACAGTGCGTATTCACATAGAACTTTATTTGCTTCCCACAGAGTTGCAGTGGGCTGGGAAGGAGTGGCATGGAGGAGAAGGCAGCTCTTGAGGTGGGACTAGATGTGTCTCTGGGAGGGGACAGGAAGATCCTCAGGCATGGTTTACCTCCACCACCATTTCTTTACCTTACTTTTTCCCCTAACTCTTGCTTCTGATCCTGGCTTTCCCCATGTCTATGCCATAAGCAAGCAGTATTTAAGCATTTGGCCCCACGGAATCATCAATGCAGCATCACTAGGGTAATCACGGGAGACATCAGTTCTTTTAGTCCAGGATTGGAGGTCTTGAGTGTTTCAGCCCCAGACTTGTGCGAGAATCTGGTTTAAGATGTGAGCCATATTTCCAGGAAGATCAAAAAGGCATCTTTGTCCAAATTAGTTCCAAACAACTCCACAGGACTCAGTCCCCTCAAAGCCTATCTGTGGGTCTCTGGACTTTGAGCTAAAAAGCTCAGGAAGAAATAGGAAAACTGAGAGCAAAAATCTGACCCACCAAGTACAGTCCTTACTTCTTCTTTTTAATGTTCCATAACCCCACCCATAATTGGGCCACCCCTGAAATCATGAAAAACAGGAGGAAATGTACACCCAGATGACAGCCCCCAGTGGCACTGGCCTCGCTTGGATGACCCATTTCCATTATTATAGCAATTCTCAGGCTGCGGCTACAATTTTCACTTGAGGCAAGGTATTAAATTGAAATTACCCCAGAGGTAATAGTCATTCAAAATAATCCTGGACACGTGAAAGCAAGTGGTTTCTCAGCATGAGACTTTATGGCTTAACTCAGGTTATATGGCTCTGCTTCTTTAAGTATGCCAGACTGGGAAGGGGCAGGGGACAGGGAGCCAGCCGTCAGAGAGGATCCACTCCCAAAGCTCCTGGTGCAGAAGTCAATATCATAAGGCTTCTGTTGGCTTGAGTCTACTCTTTGGCCAGAGGCTTGGGCAAGAAGGCTAAAAGGGGCCCAGATTTTGAGTAGAGTCCAAGACTTGGAGTTTTGTTTCTGCAACTGTTAGGAGATACTGTACTTGAACTCAGGAATGTGGAAGTAACCATACTTGTTTCTGTTTAAACTCCAAACCCAGGACAACCCCAGGTGGTGGGCATTTACCTTCAGTCATTCTCAGATGATGTCCATGGTCCCAGGCGCTTAGTTCTGTATTGCTCTCTGAGGTCTTACTTATCATCTGTCTTTGTTTGCCAGATGTTCACTGCTTGTGTATTGCACGGACCTTCCTCCCACCAGCATCATCATCACCTTTCACAACGAAGCACGATCCACCCTGCTCAGAACCATCCGCAGGTAAGCCATCTTCCTGTCTGGGAGTCAATGCTAACCTGGTACTTGGTCAAGACTGCTCTCTGGACATCCTACAGGCATGTACCAGGCACCAGTCTGTACATCATATGCTTCCACTCTGGCATTCCTCGAATGCTGAAGAGAGAGGCCATCATCCCTTTTTAAAAGAGAAATACAGATGCCAATAGTGTCTGGTAACTCACAAACATTCAGAAATCAAGCAGAGGAATGAATAACAGGCCCTTTGCCCTTCTGTGCTAGGCCATCTGAAGACCATGGGCTGATACAGTCACAACTGATGAAGAAAGCTCAGACAGTTGGGTTGCTTGTTCCATCCCTAGCCTCTGGCTAGGATCAGCACTTGAGTGTGCTCTAGGCTAGTCATCCTGTTACACTTTTCCAAAGCTGGGACAGTGGTGGGATGCAGGAGCAGTGGCACTCAATCATTAATGTATGTTTTCTGGGCATCTACTGATAGCTCAAGTCTTGCTTCTCCGGGGCTTCCCTGCCGCCTTGACACTCAATCTCAGACATGTTCCTGCTAGGAGAGGTCTGTCCTAACAAGGATGGTCTGTGGCCTGCCCAGCTTTTCCGTATGTCGAAGTCTCAATGCCAGCCACGGGCAAGCTGGCCCCAGAAAGTGGAGCAGGGAAGCAAGTTCAGCAGCAAGCTTTCTCCAAGGGGTCAAAATACATCTTAAGTCCACAGATCACTTAATGTTGAATGTCTACTGTGTAGGGCCAGGGAATCCCTTACAGGAAAGGTCCTAGACATGTGTAAGAAACAGCAGGTTCACCTACATCCCACATGTCTTTGGTACATGATGTCTGGCTGTTTTCTCCAGCTACAAACCATGGTCTAGCTTCTGTTCTCATTTCACAGGGCACTCAGTTCACTTGTGATTTCCCAACAAGACAACACACACACACACACATGTTCCATGTTCCATGTCACTGTCAGTGTCACCAGAATGTCACTAGAGATAGTAAACTGCCTTGCTGGTTTGCAAATCAGTGTAGGCATACAGAGGGGGCAAGGAAAAGGTTTCTATAAGGTCTCCATCCGTATCTCAAGGGTGTTCTTACTTCCTAGTTGAGGGCTGTAAAGCCACAAGGAATGGGCTCAGGCCTAGTGGGAGCATCGTGGGATGGACGATGAGAATCACAACCTCGATGAATGAGGTAATTTCTCAAGGGGCCAGAAAGAAAGCCCTGAGGAGCTCACCATGGCCAGTGGTACAGCAGATCTTTACATTGTGTGAGACTCATACTGTTTGTCCTATACTTCTTGGGGAAACTGTAAACCCGTCAACTCCTATAGGATTAAGGAACATGTATGGTCCAAGACTTTCTATCCCAACCCTTGTCCCTCACTGGTAATATTCTAGACCTAGCAGGGCACTTTTCCAGGTGAAGGTGATTAAGAGTTTGGTCTCTGGGACCATATTTGTCTAGCTCTGCCTATAACCACTGGGTGACCCTGGGCTGAACCTCTCTGCCTCAGTTTTACACTCTAGCAAATAACAACTGTGATTACTACTAATTCTCTGGGATGATTTCAGAGAAAACTAAGTGCTGATAGGTTAACAGTGTCTTCTGAAGGATAGAACAAATCACATCTATTATTATAAAGGAGAATTTATTAGATTCATTTACAAGCTCAGAGCCCCACAGTCTAAACATAGTATTCTGTCAGCTGGAGAACCAGAGAAACCAGTCCAAAAAATTAAAACCTCAGAATAAAAGGTAGGGGTGGGGAGCATGGGGCAGAAAGAAAGATGGCTGAGACAGTTAAGGTACTTGCTACCAAGTCTGGAAATGAAGTTCAATCCATAGGTCCCACATGCTGGAAGGACAAAAGCAACTTCTGAAAGCTGTCCTCTCTATAAGGGCCATGGTAGGTACACACACACAAACATACACACACACACACACACACACACAAGAGCATGCATATACATACTCACATAAATGGATGGATGGATAGATAGATAGATAGATAGATAGATAGATAGATAGATAGATAGACAGATAGATAGATGTGATTGAGTTAAGAGAAGGTCAATGGCACAGCCCCAGTCTAAGGCTGAAATCCACAAGGCTCCCTAGAGAGATACTGGTGTGACCACACATTGAAGACTGAAGACATTGACATTTGATGTCCATGGCAGCCATAGTATGTCCACCCACTCAATGGGAGTCTATCTGTGTGCTGATGGGCTTCTAACTTCCAGTTTTTAAACTGTCTGAGCCCCTAGCCTAGTATGGTACTACCTATATGTGGTTTGGTCTTCCCTCTTCACTTGGACAATCCACATGGCAGTCTTTCTGGAAACACCTCCATAGACATGCTCGAAAGATGCTTTACTAATTTTTAGGGTGTCTCATAATTCTTCCAATATGCCCATCAAGATTAATCATAGTAAGCAAAAGACTAGGATCTATTGCTGGCACAGGGGAGGCATCGGTGTGATTATGAGCCTCCAGTCCTGATAGATAACCGTGTTCTGATGTGGTGGCACTCCAGTGTGAGAACATGCCAGATTCTCTTGGAGGGCTTGCTAGAACATGCTTCTTTGGGCTCTAGCCTCAGAGATTCTGACTCAGTGAGTCTGGAATATGGCCTGGGAATTTGCATTTCTGACAAGTCTCAGGTTGTGGCAATGCTGCTGGCTCGGGCTCAGACTTTGAGAATCTCAGCTGTTCATCAAGTCTGTTGCTGTTAGTAGCTTCAGTAATCTTATCATCAGTGCTCACATTCCAAGAGCAACTGTCATGTGCCAGGCATGGTGTTAAGCGATGCTCACAGAAGCCATGATGCTTGAAGGATTGGTTCTACTGACTGGAGCCCTCCTGCAGACAAGTGGAAGCTGCCCAGACGTGTACTTAGACCCAAATCTGTCTCATTCCTGAACAACTACATGGTCAGCAGGTCCCAGGTCTTCTTTCAACTGGTATTTATGGAGCATTTGATAAAACCTGTCTGCATATACCACTGTGGAGTTCATGGAGCAATTTCAAATACATTTCCTCATTTCAAACGCACAAAAGCCTGTGAAGTAGGTCAAGTATTAATATCACGGGCTTTTACAAGAGAAAGGTAATTACAGAAGGAATGAAGGCAGGGAGCAGACCCATTCATGACTACATAGCAAGCAGGTTGTAAGGTTTTCCTTGGCATCCCCCAAACTACCCTGACATTATCCACTCGGACCCCATAATTAGATCACAGAATCCAGGAGAGCAGGAGAAGTCATAGATTCTATTTATTGCAACTGCATGAAGGAGACAGATCCAAAATGAAGCAAGGAAAACCCTCTATCCGGCTGGGGCCTGGTAAGGAGGATTTACTCTGCTGAGGGGCGGCAGGTGAGAAGCCTGGACTTAAGAGCCTGTGAGGACTCGGGGCAGGAGATCACAGCAGTCAAGGTTTAGATGGCAGGAACTGGTATGTGTGGGGGAAGGGGTGCTGAAAGGAGGGCCTGTGGAGGACCAAGGCCCTTGGGCTGGACTTAACCTTCTCCTTTTCCAGCCACCTCAGGTACCCAGAGTGTATGCTCTTCTCAGGCCCTCCCGGGCTAAGAGGCACTTTTAGGGAGAGGCACAAGCAAGCCAGGTGCTAGCAGGAAATGGTCTAATTAGCACTTACTGCTGACGGTTTCTTTCCCTTTCTGTTTTTTTTTTTTCCACCACCTCTGTTTTAAACCCTGGACATTTTTCATTTGCTAATCATCTCGCAGTTCAACCTGCTCAGAGCTACACGCGATTTACCCTTTGATGTTCACAGAAGAGAACTCTTGAATTTCAAAGAGCTGGCGGGGATTTGGGGGAATCGAATGTAGAAGCTCCAGTGTAATCAAACCTCATTAGAGGTTATTCTTCAAGCAGGTTTTTTCCCTCTGTCTGCCTCCCTCTCCCCTCCTGCCCTGATTAGAGGGCTGGTGGTTGGGTTTGCTGTGTTTTCTTCGGGACAAGCATAGTGAGTAATCTCTTCCCACCACTATATGGTAGAGGCTGCAGCCTCCTTCTTTTCCCTGTTCTCCACCTCCCCATAGACAGTGACAACTTTCCAGGCTTTGTGTTGGGGTTCCTCTCTCCACCTTACACTAGTTGCCATGGTGAGAATTGAGGCTTCATAAATAAAGGTAGCTCCAGGCAAAGTTCCTTTCTCATAGAGTCTGCATCCTGCATAGAAAGAGGGCTGCATTGGAAATAGAGCTCAGGCAGATCTGAGAAGAGCGATGCTCATAAAAACCCCCATATTCTGAACCCCCTTCTCTGCTATACACAGGATTATGGGTATATTAAGATGGCTGTTGTGAGGCAGAAATATTTTTGAACCATGACATTTGGAGACGCTGAGAAGAGTTCTGAGACCCACAGTTAATACTGAAACCAAGCCTGTGCCTCATGAGAGACATGAACAGAGGATGGAATAGTACCATCTTCAGAAGCATTACTAGGCCTTCAGGTTCATAAACTCACCCCAATATTTTCCCTACATTCCAAAAGAAATTAAGAAACAGAAATCAGTAAAGGTGTGAGGAGAAGCATAATTCCCTCCTTACCATGCCTGTGGTCGGCTGGTAATTTATAGAAGCCCAAGAGACAAAGGCTATAATATATTGTAAATTTAACATTGAGGTGGGTTAACCAGTCCTGACATGGGGCAAAGGGACTTGATTCCCAAGTTACCTTCACTGTGTCAGGCTCTCTGTTAACAGAGATTGTTTTTAGGTCAAGTCCAGCCTGAGGAAGATGGGTTAGGCATTCTGTCTTAAGGATTCCTTAGTGGGGAGGGTCCCACAACCGTAGGGCCAGGATGGGGCCTGGAACTGACCCAGGCTCTATGTTAGTCTCAACCTTGGTCAAATGAGATTCTTTTGTCAAGAGGCAGTCATGAACACAGAGATGCAAGAAGTATCTTGAGCACTCAACCCTAAGTGGAGAGTCTGTGTCAAGCCCCTCAGGGATCATGACATGACAGGGAGGGGGTGGAAAGTGTGTGAGAGTCAGAAGGTAGGGAAGAATACTGAGAAATGCTGGACACAAGGACATTGCATTCATAGCCTCATAAGGCTGTGGTTACCTGCACAAGAAGACCAAGCCAGTCAAAGTTCAAGCATGGTCTAGGGAAGAGCTCACAAGGCCCCACCCTTAACTGAGGTGCTATTGGCAAGTTGATAGCTGTTGGGAGAGGTGTGGCTACTGGTAGTTTGTCCATCTTTGGTGATGATGGCTTCACACCTATGTGAATATGATCATCAGTAAATGGACTCAGTGAATGATTGGAAATAAAGAAGAAAAGCAGGAGGACATGGAGTTTGGAAGAGAACATTTGAGCAGGCCAGGAGTTGGAAGGGGAGAATGAGGGTGTATATATGTTTTATTTTTTATTCTCAAAGAATAGATAAAAAATGTTACTTAAAAGAAACACTGCTAAATGGCTAGCAACTGTTGGAACTTTATTTCCAATACAATGAATAGGGAAGGTGAAAAACAACTTCTCTATGAGAAATTATTTTACCATTCTTATAAGTAAAGAAAATGCAGATTTAGAATTAACAAAACACTCTCAACTTGGCAGCGAGGAAACTAAATCTGTTTAACATTTTTGAGGGAAATATTAAATAATAGTTTTGTATTATTCCCCTCAGGGGAATATAATATCCTCCTCAGGGGAACATTCCCCCGAGGGCTGGGGAAATAACTCAGTTGGGAAAGTGCTTGCTGCATAAACATAAAGACCTCAGTTCAGATCTCCAGCACCCATGAGAAAAGCCAGGGATGGCTGCGTGTACTTCCATAACTCCAATGTAGGGAAGTGGAGACAAAAGGACCCTTGGGGCTTGCTGTAGTCAAGACAAATTGGTGAACTCCATGTCTAGTGAGAGATCTTGTCTTCAAGAATAAGTGAGAATAATTCAAGAAGATATCCTTCTTAGTTGGGGTTTTTATTACTATGACAAGACACCATAACCATGGCAACTCTTAGAAAGGAAAACACTTAATCGGGGCTGTCTTATAGTTAAAGAGGTTATAGTCCATTGTCTTCATGGCAAAAAACATGGCAGCATGCAGGCAGACATGGTGCTGGAAAGGTGGCTGAGAGTTCTTCATCTGGATCAGCAGACAGAAGGAAGAAAGAGTAACGCTGGGCCTGGCTTGAGTATTTGAAACCTCAAAATTCACCCCCAGTGGCACACTTCCTCCTACAAGGCCATACCTACTCCAACACGGCCACACCTCCTAAAGTCCCACTTCCTATAAGCCTATGGGGGCTATTCTCATTCAAACCACCACTAACACCCAACATTGAACTCTGACCTCCACTTTTGTATGCATGGAAACACACACACACACACACATGAGTGTGCACACACAAACATGTGCATACAAACATGCACACACACAAAGATCCCTCATATCTGAAAGAGAAATCTCAGGGATTTTATGGGTTGCTGCATGTGAGGCTGCACACTTGTGCTGGCCTGACAGAGTTTGTCCCTAGTTGCACTCATTTAATAGGTACAGGGCAGAAGCTGATTGTATTCTTAATTTGGAGGTCAGCTTGATGCTTGGATTGTCTATGTCTGTTAAACATTGATTTGGCGATTGTCTGATAGCTGGAGGGAGAGTCACAATCGTCTCTCTTTATAGTGTTTTCCTTTCTTACCAGGGCTCCTGCTTGACATCAGGGTGACAGGGGCGGGAGCCTGCCTGGTAAGGTGTGAAACCAGCTGCCAGTGTCAGGAAGGGGAAATGCTGTGAGAAGCTCCAGCTAAAAAGCTGTAAAGGAATCCCAAGAGAGGAAACAATTAATTCTCCCTAAGTAAATTGGAAAGCTGTTAGAGAGAAATGACATTTGAACTGGCCCTTGTGGGCAGCTTAGGGCCATTTCAAAGCCTTGAAGAAGAGGATCTCGATAGTGAATAAGCAGAAGAAATTCCTGCGGCAGCACTAGGCGTGGATAGCTGCAGGCAGCATAGGTCAGCTTGGTGATACGAGGGTGTGGTGTGGATCATGCTGAGGGTTTGCAGTGAAAGTAGTGAAGGCACAATGGGATTTCATCTATTTATTTGTGGCCACATGGAAACCACACTATTGGATGTGTGTTTTAAATGTCACTTGAAGGCCACCAGGAAAACTGTCTGGGACTGAGACGAGCTGAGGAAGGTAGAGGCTGCAGTGATAAACCAAATAAAAGTAGACACACTGAAGTGAGGGATGGTGGGATGTGCCTATAATCATGTACTTGGGAGAGCGAGGCAGGAGGATCAAATGTTCAAAACCAGTCCGGGCTGTACAATAAGGCCTTGCCTACTCCCCATAAAAAGAGGATGGACCAGAACAGACATAAACAAGGTGATAGTGGTTTAAGTGTAACATCCAAATAGAAGTATTAGAATGGAGTTTGGAGAAAGGGAGGGTTGTCATTGGTACCACCTGGATTTCTGTCTGAGTGGTTCACTGGGCGGCATAGCATTTACTGTGATGAAGAAGGCAGAATTATACCCTCAGTGCCCCAGATGAGTAGGAGCAGAATGACCAGGCACCTTCTGGTGCCCCTACATCTTCATTCCTCCCATGGAATGATATTTAAAAATGGAGTTGGTACATACATGCATGTTGCAATTAGTAGACGTCGTAATTTCCCTTCTTCCCACAGTGTGTTAAACCGCACCCCTATGCATCTGATCCAGGAAATCATATTAGTGGATGACTTCAGCAATGACCGTAAGTACCATTGATTACTGACAATGGAGTCAGAAATGTCTGGTCCTAGCTATTATGTACGAGTGGAAGGGAGCTCACTGAGACTGTAGAGGTGAAGGAAAGCCCACTTGGGTAGCAGTCTTGAAAGTCTGTGTCTATGACTAAGCTTCAAAAAGTAAGCAACTTTATATTTGAGAAAAATTTTGGTGCTCTCCGCTGTAAGTTTTTGAGGACCTAATTAGCTAAGTTTGTTAACTATCTGCTTGAGAAGAATGAGGAATGAGTGTCCATGTGTGGATGAGTGTGTATGGTATCTGTGTCATTAGCTTCTGACATACATTCCTGGGCAAAAGAAGAGGTACCACGCTTTCAGAGGACCACCATTAGAACCCAAAGCCCCATCAGACTCCTGATTTTGATCCCGCATTAATGTGCCCATCTGAACTGAGGCTGCCACGTTTCCTCCCTCTGGGAGACCTTAATATTGAGATCCCCATGGACATCCCAACACACATCTATGACAGTGTGTGCCTTTGGTCATCATCAGCTCCTGTGTCACATTCCTTAGTTATCTCAAAAGAACCCAGGGCCAACCCAATTTTTCTCCTGTGATCCAGCTTCCCACGTAAAACATGCTGGGGTCCCTAGACATCTGTTTACATCTGAAAGTCACAACGATTATAGAAACATCAGAATTCAAGTATCATTGGTGCCAACTCACACCACTAACAGCCACTGTCCTGTTTGTAGTTCTATTCAGTCAAGCATTTCTAAAGGCAGTGGGACCCTTCCTCCAAAGGCCTTGGGCCTCTTGTTCATCAAGCTGGAGACCACCCACCCATTACCAGCTCTGTTGTGTTGGAAAACTGTTGGCTGATCTCCTCATAAAGAGGGCCCCCATGTTCTAAAAGCAAAGCCCAAAGTTGTTTTCTTCCATTGTTGGCTTCTGGGCATTTAAAACTAGACTCATTGTAGTGAACAGACTGAATTAATAACTCCTTTGGTGTGTAGCAACAGAAATGGCCCTGAGATGACCAGGCCAAGGATCTACACCTTGACCATTTTCATGATAGCACGCGCAGGTCCTGCTGAGTGCTGACCCATTCTAAATGGGCCCAGCTGAGGTCATTTTACTCAGTGATTGTCAACCCCATCCATGAATGAGAAACACCGTGGACTCAGGACCACGTGCAGTCAGGGTGGGGAGAGCAAGTAGGTCCTGATCCTTCCAGTTTGCTCATATGAGGTCACATCCCAGGTGCTTACTGAGCATGGTCTTTGTCTTTGCAGCTGAGGACTGCAAGCAGCTCATCAAACTGCCCAAGGTGAAGTGTTTGCGAAACAGTGAGCGGCAAGGTAGGCTGAGCCAGGGGGCAGAGCTGGCATGAGTAGAGAGTGGGGTATGGTGGATGTATGTGTGCGGGTGTTCAAGGAAATACTGAGTGTCTATTATGTGATCTTGCTGGTCCCTGGAGCAACAGTGGCACCCACTTGGGCATTCATTCACTACACAGGTCTGGTCCGTTCCCGGATGCGGGGTGCTGACATTGCCCAAGGCACCACTCTGACCTTCCTTGACAGCCACTGTGAGGTGAACAGGGATTGGCTGCAGCCCCTGTTACACAGAGTCAAAGAGGTGAGTCAAGCTGAGGAACAGAGCTGGGATTCCTACCTCCCATGTCATCCAGGGCCTCCAAACCTGTAATTTCACTTAGGGGTGGGACGGGGTATTTGTTATCTTCACTTTAGGGATGAAGGACTAAATAAAGTGTCCTGAACAAGATCACGCTGCCTGTAGTCAGTGGTGAAGCAATGCCTGAGCTGTTTGTTTTAATCACACTGTTGCTCACAGCAGCAAGCATGAAACTGAAGCTGTCTGCTGGTAGCAGGTAGTATTCAGCGTCCTGGATTAGATAAAACTACCCAGAACTGTATCTGTCTAAGTTCTGGGTAAGGTATCCTCCTGAATGCTGACTGTAGGGAGAAGGCAGCAGAAAGAGCCAGTTCCTGGGGGCTCTGTTTTCCCATGCACCCATGGAGGGAATCTGTCTCATCCATTACTCCTACTACGTGCTCACAATACACCATCTGTGGGCCAAACCAGGAGGCAAATGCTGAGAGTCGAAGCCTGTTCTTCCTGTTTACCCTTGAGTTACCCTGAGATTCTCTGTGCTGTTTTCTCTGTGCCTCAGCCACCACTCTACAAAGCAAAGTACAGTTTTATTCTTCTCCTTATTACGTTGTCCTCTCTGAGAAGCTCACCCGTTCTTCTGGCTCACTACAGAAGCACATTGTCAATGATATACACTGGTGTTGCCTGACACTCCTCCTAAACCACTCCCCTGCACAGTATGGGAAGCAGGAGTCAGACATTTGTAACATACTTATTTCACAGACGAGAAAATAGTGTCCCGACTATTATGCAACATGATTTAATATTCTTTAGGATGACATCTTGAGCATCAGCCAAGCAGCACGTGGCCTGGGTTAGGCTGGTTTCCTGCTCTTCCTGGTTACCACTCACCTCCTGCCTGCACAGTAACACTGCTCAAAGGGAAGAAGAGCTCAATGGTCAAACTGTTCAAAAGAGAACTAGGAAAGTCCTTGCCACTTGTCTGTTGCATAGAAGACCCTTAGCTGGTCGACTGCGATCTTGCACATGGGGCTAGTTGTCAACACCCATTAGGGACTATTCTTTCTGAATTTGATCCCTTCACACTGTTCAGAACAATCATTTTTTCCCCACATAATCAGTCAGAAGGATCTGAGCAGGGAAATATTTTCATGAGCAGGCCATTGAATTGAGTGTTTCCTTGGTACCAAAGACCCTTCCAGAAGCCTTCCGACCCTCTGTATTCTCATCCTAGCATCTCCAGGCTCCTGATCCTGTCATTTGCATTGCCAGTGTCCTATCTGTGATTGTAGTAAGGAGGGCATGTTGTACGTGTGTATGGTATATGTATATGGTGTACATGGCAGACAAGGGCCAATATGGAACATATTTCCTCTTTTGCTTCCTACATTCGGACAAGATCTCTTGTTGAACCTGAAGCTCGTCAGTTTGACCAGGCTGACTGAGGAAAGTAATGAATTTCAGGAATCTTTCTGTCACCATTGCTCCCACCACATGCACACAACACACCACTGGTACTGGAGTTCCAGGCCAGTGGTGCCTTGCTTAGCCTTTCACATGGATCCTGGGATCCAAATTCCAGTCATTGGGCTTGCACAGCACATACTTTCCTGGGTACTTTACTGACTGACCTCTCTCTCCAGCCCCAGCCAGTGCCCCACCTGTGACCCGCTTCTTCTTGTCCCTGGCTGGCCACCTTATTCTCCTTTTCACAAACCCTCCTGCTCCTCAAGACATTGTCAAAGTCTTCCCATCTGCACACTCAACCAGGATGGCTCCAAGGAGCCATTGCCTACTTTGTCCTCCATTTCCTCTTCCGAGTTTAGTTCTTAATCTCCCTTAACAGATGCCAAGTGCAGTTGGGAACTAGTCCCCTCTCTGTAACCACCTTACCTGCTGTAGATAGGCTCCTGTTGCTTGAAAACCATTCTTAGAAGCCCAGCATATTGAGGTGCTGGCATGTTAGAATTAGCGGAGAAGTTGACTCACTGCCTACCCCTAAGCTAATTAGCTGGTATTGCTTGACACCTATTTGGGGAAGTCTCAAACAGGCTATATGAAAGGAATTCATTGGTACTTAGTATATATTGCATGGTTCCAGCATACTCAGGCTCTGTTGGTTGGGAAAGAGCTAACACAAACTAGGTGAGCATGGGTAGAAGTGCTTTGATAGGGGTTCTCAACCTGTGGGTCATGACCCCTTGGGTAGATTTCACAGTGGCTACTTAAGACCATCAAAATCACAGATAATTACATTATGATTCATAACTGTAGCAAAATTACAATTATGTAAGTGATAACAAAAATAATTTTATGGTTGGGGGATCACCACAGTATGAGGAACTGTGTCCTACAGGGTCACAGCATTAGGAAGGTTGAGAACCACTGGGCTATGAAAACTCTGACATTAAGAAAATTCTTCATGAGAAGGAAACAGAAAAGATTTGCAGACCTCTCAGATGCTGAGCAGCCCCCTCCAGTGGGAACCTTTACATCCCTAGGAACGTCTTTACATCCCTAGGAAAGTCTTGGTGCCCGTGAGTTACTGAGGAGCCAAGGACTAGTGAAATCATCCCCTTGCTAGTCTGCATGCAGAGCCAAGAAGAAACTACAGTATGCAAACAGGGCTTGAAGGCCAAGGCTGAAAAACCACAAGGAAGGTAGAGTGGAGGACACAGACACTAACTTTGAAGAGAAGTTGAAATTGGAGGTTACGTTCTCTGGTTCAGCCAGGGCCATACCAAAGTAGACTTAAAGCCAGGAGTGTGGTATTGTGGAAACCCTGTGGCCCAGGAAGCAAAGATGGGGAAGAAGAGGCCTGGACCCCCTCGTTTTCTATCACAAAAGTGTCTCATAGTTACTGCAGACATTTTGGAAAATATGGAAAATTAAAATGAAAACTAATCAAGCAAAATTCTGTCATGCAAAGACATCCGCAGCCTCATTTCTTCCCACTTAGGATCATTTTCTCTTCAGAGAAACATCGTTTAGTGTAGTTGTAATCATCCTGTATTTACCCAACCTTTTATTCTGCTATTTCACCCCCCCCTTACCCATAAGCACTTTCATATGATCTCTAATTTAACCCTAGCCAGAATAGCAGATGCATTGTCTATGTGCAGGCACATACATGTGAGAGACATGTAACAAAACTGACCATTGAAACCATCTCAGACTGCAGTTTGAAGATTGTACAAGTCTCACTGTAATCTAATTACAAAAATGTTCTCGGCACCTCAGAGGGAAACTCCACAGCTGTTAGCCACCCTTGCTCACTTCCTTCCTCTCCTGGCCTCTGCAGCCACTAATCTGCTTTGCCCTTGGGGACCTGCCTATTCTGTGCATTTCCTAAAATTAGAATCCTATGAGAAGGCCTTTTGAGCCTGACTTATCTTACCCAACATATATTTGAGCTCCACACACAATGCAGCATGCCAATATTCTTCTCATGGCCAAATCCTTATTCCAGAGTATGATTCATCCACGTGTGGATACCAATAGTGATGCCGCTATGACCACTCATGTATAGGTTTTTATTTATGTGTCTATTTTAGTTCTTATGGGACATATACTAAAGACCGAGATTGCTGAAATTAGATGTTTCTTGTATTGGGATCCCCAAGATGATTATACTTTAAAATTTTTTTCTTTTCTTTTGTTGTTCTTTGACAATTTCATACATTTATATACTGAGTTTTGGGGCATCTCCTGCTACCCTCTTTCACCCCTACCTTTCTCCTACTAAAATCTTTGTTTTAAACCTCTCTCTCTCTCTCTCCTT